AGACACCATAAATATGTTGCCCAACATGGATAGAACTGGATTTAGGGGAAACGGATAGGGCTGGGGAAGTCTGGGTGAGGGGGTGTGGAAACAGGTTTCCTACGGTGAAAAGAGAACAACCATCCTGCGTACAGGATTGTCATGGCTAAGGCAGGGACCACGGGGCTCATGGGAAGTATATTTCTGGCTGGAACACGGAATGGTTGGAATGCCTTTTATTTCTTGGTTTGCTTTTATAGCTGCTGGGAGAATAAGAATGTGGTCCAGCATGTTCTCTCCCTTGCTCATTATTCACCAACTCATAAGACTGAGTACCTGTCAAGTTTTAGACACTGTATTTTGGTTCCAGGGAATCAACTTTGACCCGGGCAGACAGGGTCCTCTTACTCACAGGACTTACATTCTTGAGGCGAAGACAAACATTGAAGAGATATTTGTACAAGTGGTTACCAACAGTCGTGAATTTAGTGTAGGAAAATGGAAAGAGGCCAAATGGAAAGAGACCCTCACCTCCATGTTTTCCTGTTGCCAGTGATGGGGCTCATGGGTGAAGAATGGCTGAAGGAAGGAGATGAGCCCTGGGCATGGATCCCAGGCTAGCTGTACTCTTTACAGACGGAGAAGCACGGCCACCAAGGGCCCACACCTTTGTCTTACTCCACTTCCTGCTCAAGCCATGCTGAGACTGGCCTTTGAACTTGAGATCCTCCTGCCTCGGCCTCCCAGGTTGCTGGGATTACAGGCATCTGACACTTTCCCACAAGTGGTGTGTATCCAGATCCTTTAGGAAGCAGATGCCAAGATGGAATAAGAAGTGCAGATTTTGCTGGGGGGTGGCCAGATGGAGGTGAAAGAAGGAGGGGAAGAAGGAGCAGGAGGAGGCAGGGAGAACCTTCTGACCACAAGACTGCACCTGCAAAAGGAAGAGTGGATAGAAAATGCCTCAAAACAGGGCAGCCCCAAGAAAACCTCTGTCAATCCAAGAGGGAGCTCTAGAACAAGGATCACTCATTAGAGAAGTCCTTCACAGGACAGGACAGGAGCTCTCAGGCCCTGAGACCTTCTGCTGTAAGCAGCCATTGGCTACCCGGGAGCAGATGCTGCAGGCTGTGGGCTCATTAGTTTTTGCTAACTGGCGCCCTCTTGAGGGAGAGCAGAGTGGTACACGTCCATGGCTGCTACACCTGCCCACTTGTGTTTATGCACTCAGTCTTCTCCATCACCATGACCTACGCCAAGCTGAGGGTGTCCAGCAGCACAGCCTCTGGCCTCTGAGAAGTGAGTAGGGGTGAGGTTGAAGAAATGAGAAATGTTGCCAAGATTTCAGCAGCACCAGCTATGGCTGAATGGACAGCTGAGGGCAGGAAACGGGGATTGGAAGGAAGCCCAGAGCCCAACCCAGAGAGTGCTGACCAGGGAAAAAGGAAAGGACTGACTGCCAGGGACCACCTCAGTGGACAAGCCTGCAATGTTGATAAGATGATGCAGGTTGAGCTGGACCTCCTGTGCCTCACTTATAGACAGCCCTGCCTACATGTTTAGCAGTTTGTCTTAGTCAGTTTTTGGTCACTATAACAACATATCTGAACCCTGGTACTTTCTAAAGAAATGGAGTTTATTTAGCTCATAGTCCTAGTGGGTTCAAGAGCACAGTGACAGCATTTGCTTCACTCTGATGAGAGCCAGATGAAGGGTGTCACCATAGTGGAAGTTCATTCAAAAGAGATCACATGGTGAGGCAGAAAGAAAGAGACCCGGGAGGAGCCATACTAACTTCTTTTTATATCAACCTGCTCTTTGGGGATCTAATTCACTCTGTGAGACCAGTATTAATCCCTTCTGAGGTCAGTGCCCCTGTGACCTGAGCACCTTCCACTGCACCCCATCTCTTAATGATTCTGCCACCCAAACATCAGCACACTGCGGACAAAGCCCCAGCACCTGAGCCTTAGGGATCCCAACCATAGCACACCTATCTAATTCCCTATGTTCTCTTCATGTAAAATCTAGGCGTCTGTCTCTACAAACACTTATCTACACCCCATGATGTTCATGCCTCTCATCTTCAAGAGGTTATTAACTAATGTTAGAGAAAGAAGATCTGGAAATTACCTTTCGTGAAAAATCAAGATAGAAAGCTGAAACTAACTTAAACTCGTTTTAAGCTGCATTCTCCAAAATAGATGAGGAACATCATTGTAGCAATACATTTAGTCTGATCGAATAGTTCCCTTCCTAGCTCTGAAATCTCATCCTGAATTCTAGATCCATTATTAAGAGGCCCTCGGACATATCAAAGATCATACTGTGTCATGCACCGAAGAACAGGCTGAGCTAGCGTTTCTGTATCTAGTGTCCAAAGAAGAAATGAAATAAAATAATAATGACCCGACAAGAAGGGCCCCATGCTCTCAAGCACCTCACATAGGACAGACGCAAAACTGAAATATCCATCCTCTTGATTAGCACCAAGGAAACCCTGTCTTCTGAGTTTTGGCTTTGTATTCTCCAGATGAAGGTGCCTATGTGAATGCTGGGAAGGCGATGGTTTGGAAATGGACCTGTGTTTTTAGTTGGAGATAAAACTGTCTAAATCAAGAAAAAGCAAATGAACTTGCCCAGTCTTTCCACACTGATAGCACGAGTGGAATAAGTTACATAGCTTATCCAGCAGAGTGGGCTCTCCCAACCCTGCCAAGCACCTACCTTCTTGTTTCTCTTTCTGTTCCAATGTGTGTTTTGAGAGGCTCTCGTTCATCAGTGCTATATTCTTGGCACTTGAATATGGTGGCCAAGTGATATTTTGCAATATTAAGCAAGCCACATTGCTCTTTTTTTAAAATTCTCTTTTTAGTT